ACATTTGGCCCTTTGAAGGCAACCATGAGGCTGATGTGGCCCCTGGTGAAAATGAGTTTGACACCCCTGCATTAAAGTTTTTATCTGATCATTTCATTAACTAAAGTTCTTGGGAAGGGCTGGCTAATCCTGCTGTTTGTTGTATCCCACCTCTTTCATTGACTGTGAATTACTTCCTTGTATATTTAGTAATTTTGAACCATAAAGCCTATCAATGAGATCCCTGGGCAATTTGGGTTAAGGATGTGTCCCTCCAGAAGAGTTTTATAGTTCTGTTTGCCAGGTGTTCTAGAGGGCTCACCAGCTGAAGATTAATTTTATATTAATTTTTTTGGCCTGGGTAAGAAATTATACCAAATGAATGGTATAACTTAAACTCCAAATCTGAATGAGAGAAGGCTCATGGTTATAATTTTTAGGGGAAACATTTGCCCTCTAACCCAGCCCAGACCGAGATAGATAAGCTTGTCTTTCATCTCCCTAGGTTGGGGGGCCAATATCTTTCTAATTTATTTATTATATAGCTTATCAGGGGACCTGGATGTATGCTGATATGTGTGTCTCAGATCCAACTGTGCACCGCATTAGGACTCAAGATCTTGTCTCCTGATCCCATGTAATTGTAATGGGGTCCTCATATAAAGGAGACCTCCCCATTCCCAAGAACCCCTAACGGCTAGCAGCCAGTGTCAGGTCATAGGCTTCCCAGTTAGCTTTCAGACTTCAGTTTGATGCTGGCCCATGGCAATGTCCACTGTTTTCTTTTTGCTTACGCTGTGCATTTAATATTTTACATAGCATTTATAAATATTTGTAGGAAGATTTTGTTATGCTATTGCTAGACAGAAGTTGAAAGATATTTTCCTTGATGTGCCTTTGCCATAGAATACCTAGAAGTTCAGTCTACAAAGAATTCCTTTGTTGCACCTGGATTTTATAATCCAGTTAATGAAATGAGTTGTTTACAAACAAAAATAGAATATCAGCAGGTTGGCAGTAATGTGTATGTTTACACAGCAAAGGATCTATGTTCCCCCCCCCAACTAATTATAGATAAAATTAAAACTCTCATCAATATTTTAAAGGGAGATTAAAACATTATTACTATATCTTATTATTAATATAAAGTTTTAGTCAGGAGGATGCTATGTGTTTCAGTATTATGATAAAAATGAATACCATAAACATGGATACTAGACTTACTGGGGTGATTACTTAGTAAGTTTTATCAATGTCCAATCAGTATGTTATACACCTGAAACTAATATTGTATCCAGCTGTAATTGAAAAAAATTACTGAAACAAAGAAATGAACAAACACCATAACCTACTGACCAAATTGCTTTTGTTGAGTTTAAAAAATCTGTACCCACTAAGATTTCCCATATTAATATATATATTTTCAACTTGTCACAGCTCAGGCTGTCTAGTAATGGCCCCTACAACATCTGAAAAGATAATCAGAGTCCCCAGCTTGTCATGGTACTAGTCAGAAGGAATGGGAAGAAGCACACTATGGGCATGGGTTATAAAAGAACCTGGATAATATCAAAGTCCTTATGACTCTTTCACTAATAAGATCCTTTGGCTTGAGTCCAAGATGGAGACACAGTCTGTAATATTTTATATGTTTAAGTGTCTGACCAAATACCCTCACATATATGATGCCCTTTTAAGATGAGCAGGACACACTAGTTTAAGTGATTTATCTAAGGGTTACAGTTGGTAAAATGGCAAAGCCTAGAATAGAATTCTTGTCTGCAAACTAAATTCCATGCCAAGAGTGTTACCATGGCAAAGCCACTCTCAGGGATATCTCTTACAGCCTTTATATCTAGAAATGATTTGTAAATTTTAAAAAGAAATGACTAAAAGACACAAAAATTGAGTCCAAAGTTTCTCAAATGCTTGTTCAATTCAATATGGCATGACAAAAGGGTGTGTTTGAACATGAATTCATCCTTTAGATTTCTGTTGTCATTAGCTTAATATGACCATTTAAATGCTAATTAATTAAATTAACTGAAAGGAAAACAATTTTCTTGGTTGCTCTAGCCACATTTCAAATGCCCAGTAGGCACATGTGGCTGGTGGCTGCTATATGGGGCAGTACTGATACAGAACATCTCCATCATCATAGAGATCTACTGGACAGCTATGCTCTGGAATGTGGACTGATGAAGCAATTCCTTTGTTGCAGTTGGATAGAAAGAAGTTTGGCTTTGAAGCTTGACAGATTTAGATTTGAATTCTGCCTCTGTCACTTAAAACTTTGTGACTTGAGCAACTTTAACTTCTATTGGACTCTATAGTTTCTTCATCTGTAAGTCGGGAATCAGAAATAAGGTGCTTGGAAATCATTTTTTGCTTGGTAACTACAGAATCTGCAGTCTCCCCAACTCTTACCACAGCCCCACTGGGGTCCTGTGGTTGCCAAAAGGCCCTCACACAGTATGTAAAAACATACTTACTGTTTCTGAAAGATTCAAGAGAATCACCAAACCTAAGCCCTTAACTAGGATAAGCGCCTTCTCTGTAAAATTTCACCTTTTCTTGGGGGAAGGTGGGATGGGGTTAGGTCAGCATTTTGTATAAAGAAAAATAAACAATAAAAACAATTTAGAACAGGAACAAAGTTACAGTTCAATTTCCTATTATTTTAACTCTACAAATTGATTTGAGAGCAAGAAGCTGGATCTGAAGGTGTATGAGTAAAATGGGTCAGGTGTCTCGGTGCTATTTCCCACAAGAAAATGACAGAAGAACAGCTATAGAATCAGGTATAATTACCTGTATACACAATTGGGCACTAATTAACTTTTTATTTAAAGAACAAATCCCTGAACAACTCAATGGCTTGCTGACCCAACAAGACTACTTTCTACTTTTAAGATGAGGTAGACAAGACACACACTACTCAAGAGAGGCCTGAATGCTCTCAGATCACTTTATACTGTCTTGTCACTTCTCCCCTATATAGCTACTCCATTAAGTATTTCCCCAAGCTCCTCTTCTAGGCTGTTTCTAATATACCTGCAATGTTGTACTTGACCTTTCCAGGCCTTTCTCTAGTCTGAAAACAAGCTGACATGTTCTTGCATTTCTAATTAGTAATATCAGAAATTGTAAGGCTCTTAGGGGATGATTCAGAGCCTCCGTTAACCGGGAAATGAAACGACCTGGTTAAGTGAGTTTTCTGTTTAACTAAGGAAACCTTTGTTTCAATCTCTTGTTGTATATCTACCTCTCTATAATAAAATGCATCAGTGCACTTTTCTGCTCAAGAATACTCTAAGATAATACACACTCCTGATAATTTAAAATCTTAATGTTATAATAAATTACCTGTAATACTGATACTACACTGGGGTTAAAGTTATAAAATACTGACATTTTTATGCTGACCCCAGATTATACTTGAGTCATTTGCTAAATTTCCACAAAATAAAATCTAACATTAGCTTGCTTTCTCATAATCTGTCTTCATTTCTTCCACACATGGACTATAGAAATATTTCCAGATAACTGAAGCTCTAATTAGTTAATTTGGCTAATCATGGTTTCATTATATTTGTGTTACGTTGCACTTCCAACTTTAAAGGAAACTTTACTTGTGAATAAAATATAATACAATTCACTTCATGCTTATACTAAACGGTAATTAAGTCCATGGGCCTCTGATAATCTCACCTACTATTTTAATAATCAGAATTTTCTAAGAAACAATTGCTAGAGTAAGTTTCCAGGTAGTGAAGAGCAGAATTAAGCCAATTTCTCTTTTTAAAAAAATTGGATCTGTGTTTCTTTGCAGTATTTCCCCTTTAACAGAATATTCAACGCAAAGAAAAGCGCCATCTGGAGTAATTCTACTGTTAACGTTAGTTTAAATCCATCTGAACTTATAGGTATTAAAAGGCATTTCCATATGTCCACAGAAATTAAAATCTCACAGGTAATTCAATTAGTTGGATAATTTATTGAAAAGAGATTCCACTTCACTTAGATACTTAAAAGAGAGTTAGGGAGAATTTGGGGCTTCTAGCTTCAAAATAGACCTTGCCACTTCTCATTCATGGAATTAAAAGATACATAATTTCTAGTAGCTTTTTATATTTAATACTGAATACATTTCTCCAATACCAGTTACCTCCCATTCAAGTGAAACTCAAACACAGTAACTTCTTTTCTGAGTTGAAGCAACACTTTTCTCCAGTAATTTCCTTAGATGGCAGTTATAGAATACCTTCTGTCCTCACACATATGTTCATTACCCATACTGAAATGTAGGCACCAAGTACTACATACTTTTTAGTACATTACATCTCGAAAGAACCACTCTAGCTTTGTTGACTATATCCAACCATTCTTAATGGTCTGTAAAATGCCCTCCAAAACCCCGGACTATGGAAAAAAAAAAAAAAAGGGTTATCCTCACTCTCCAACTGAGTCGGTGCCACTCACCTGAGTCTCAGTTGATTTAAACACCTGCCTTCCCCATACGGGTTACTGTATCATTAACACTAAAGCACAGTCCCTCTTGGCCCAGCACACACTCAACTAAATAAACAAATTGAAAAATACCACTACCAGGGCAAAGATAATACTCTCTTTGTGGACAGAACTATCAGTGTCTGTCCCATTCTGTATCTTTCAAATTAAGTCCTATTGCTCAGGGGCATGGGAAGCCAACAATTCAGTCTCACAAGAAAGAGCGTGAAACTTACCTTCATAAAGCAAACAACATGAACATAATGTAATGCTATTACATGAAGTAGTCTAGTTAACTAAAATAACATACTAAGTTATTGTATACAAAAGTGTTTTAATTTTAGAAGCCCAATTTAAAAGACTTGCTTTTACTAAGACTAATTTATAACTATAAAAAGAGTATAGACTAAATGTTTTTTGTAACTTAAAACTCCAAAAATGTGTTGGTAGAAACTATAGTCACTCAATTTTAACTATAAACATTTGAACTGTAATAAAACAGATATACTCACAGCTTGCATTTCTATATAGAAGAAATGGTTCATGGAGCTGAAATTCCAAATCTTTATTCACTGGTTCAACAAGATTGTGCATATTCAATCGATTCACAATGGTAAAACCATGGTAAGGTGAAGCTGACCTTAGATTTAATAGAAGAAAAATAATCTGCAGTCACTGTTAGTTTGTAGAAATGCTACCTACTTCTTTATTTCCATTTCTAAGAATGAATACATTTTTACATTACATATTATTAGCATTTAAAATTGTAAACCAAAAAAAGTCACATCACAATCCTCTTCCTCAGAAGCTTCTAAGGACTCAGTCCCTCAGAGTAAAGGCCGAAGTCCTTATTAAGGCCACAAGGTCTTAGCTGATATGCACCCTTCCTGCCCCGACCTTGATTTCATTTCCTATGTGTCTTCCCTTGCTTTTCCTGCTCCAGCCGCACTGAGCATCTTGCCACTCTCTCTAAATACTTCTGCCTGGACCACTTGCCCAGAATCTAGTTATGTCATTTCCCACAAGCCTTTGCTCAAATGTCACTTTCTCAATGAGGCCTACCTGAGAACTATCCTTTTCAGGCCTCCCAAGCTCAATACCTCTAAACCTCCTTTCTCTTTTTCCATACTTATTGTCTTTCTCCATTAGAATGTAAGCTCCATGTAAATGGGGATTTTGTCTTATTTTTTTCCCTTGCTATATATCCCAAGACAGACAACACAGTAGATGTTTAATAAACACTTGTTCAATAAAAGCCTCATTTATTTTAAATATGGTACAGGACTGGTTATAACGATGACTGTCTGATGTTATAATAATGATTTTTTTTTTGTGCCAAATAGGTCTTTCCATAGTTTTCCCAAGAGAAAATGCCTCAAATCCTACAATAAGAGATGTCCTTAGTACCTATACCCAGTGTGATTCAGTGCATGATGCTTTAGACACCTTGCATGTATACAACACTTTTTGGTTTCTCATTCATTTCTCTGTGTACTTGGGAGAGATTTTAGAATCCTGTTTACAGATTAGGAAACAAGCTCAAAATGATTAAGGCCTGTGCCCAAAGTCATACAGATAACAACCAGAATTCAGCCTTAGGTTTTCTGACTCCAAATCCAGGCTTCTTCAATGCTAAGGTCTCTATAAAGTAATATTCTGACATCCTACTATAACTTTATCTAAGGTATATATAGTGTTCTCCTTTTGGTCTCCTTTTATTATAATCAATACTGTGTAAGCCTCCATGTATTATATTTTATTAAGTCAAGTCACTCACTATACTAAATTTCACATTTTCTACAATTAGTGAATCTGTGCTATACTGTAACAAAAAAGCCAGGAGAGTAATTTCAAAGTGTTATAGACACCAAAGTTCTACCAACAGTTGAAAAGTTCCTAGAGATTTATAGGAAGTGAATGTTAAAGACCTCCCCCTGATCAAAAAAAAATTTAGAGAATATCTGGTAAATTCTTGTTAATTATAATCAAAGGATAAAAGCAATCCTTTAAAGATAACTCATAGTACTGAAAAGAAAAGAAAAGAAAAGAAAAGAAAAGAAAAGAAAAGAAAAGAAAAGAGAAAAGAACCAGATGTCAGTCATAACTCCTGCTGAGTTCCTAAGCTTTAGAAACCAAAGGAAGGGACCACAACAAGGCCTAATAGGGATCCAGGAAAAGAAGGGACTCCTTGACTATCATATCCTGTTAGTTACTTTTAGACCATGAAACTTGCAATTTACAAACCAATCACACTTTATACCTCCAAGAAGTTGAAAGTAAAAAAATGTGCAATTCTGAATGAGCTCTAAAGGACTTTCATATTAAAAATACACATTATCAAATTCATTGTACACAATTCAGAACTTTTAGGGAGGGGGTAGGAAAGGGGACAGAACCCGAGTCACAGAAGATAACCTCTCATTTAGTAATCACAGAACAGCAGGACTGACCCTTCGACTGCATTATTTTATAGAGCTAGTTCATGTGTTGTACTTTTCTCACCTATGTATCTTTTTAAATATGGGTGGGGGTGTGGGGAAGAGGAAGCCATCTGTTTTAGACTCAGTTATTACTATAAAATATTTTCTACTTTGAGATGGTGTGGCTAGGTTCCTAAAGAAGTTCTAGTTCTGTTTACTCTGGATCACAGGAAGACTCGAAGAGGAGACGTAACTTGGTTAGGTAGAGATGAGTGAATACGTGAAGGGTCAAGCAGGAAGGCTCTGAAGACAAATGTACAATGGGGTTGAACCACTTCATATGATATTGTTCACCGTGAGATTTAAAAATACATATATATATTTTAAAAGCTTACCTTCGATATACAAATAAGGTCCCTTCTATGTCAGTCTTCTCCTATAAAAGACAATGAATCAATTGGTTTTCTACTCATAATCCAACCCCAAATATTCCAAAGGAAAATAAATACTTCATGTTTAAGATCAACTTACTTATTTTAAAATTAATCACTTTGAAACAGGTCAACCAAGTCCTCACTCCACACACTACTATGAACAGTTTCTCGTTTTCCTTCTATGCTCCTGATGCACACTAATGCATATGCGGTGTTCAGTCCAGTGACATGCCCGAATCTGCAGCATTTTTCTTTCTTTTTTAATTTTAAAGAAGAAAATCCTGAAATTAGCTTTCACTTTTTAAGTTAAAATGTTTTAGCCAAATTTCTTAATTTTAAAGGCAAGGTATTGTATATAGCAATTTCTTCATTTTTAAAGTTTATCAAAGTTAGTAGGGAAAAAAGAGAAATTTTATCTTATACATTCTTTGTTTCATCATTGGGGATTTCAGTATATTTCATGAGTAGCAAATGTTGTGGTTAGTTAAAAATTACTGTAAAATGAAAGGTATTTAAAATATTGCTTCCTGGCATATGTTGTCAGTTTGACTCAGTAAAACATTTTTTTTTACGATTTTATTTATTTACTTTTAGAGAGAGGGGAAGAGAGGGAAAAAGAGAGGGAGAGAAACATCCATGTAGTGAGAAAGACAGAGATTGGTTGCCTCTCACTCTCGCATGCTCCCAACTAAGGACCCTGTCTGCCACCCAGGCATGTGCCCTGATGGAAAATCCAAACAGCAACGACCTTTGGTAAGCAGCCTGGTGGTGCTCAATCCCCTGAGCCATACCAACCAGGGCTAAATCTTATCAAAGTTAAAAAAAATCATCAAATGCATCAAATTAATTTGTTATTTTTAGAACTTTTTTTGAATAATGATACTATACTCTGCCTTAACATAATTATTGTAGGCCAATAATTTTTAAAAATTTAGCTTAAAGTGAAATGTTTTGATTTAGTCAAGTACAACTCACACCATCTTTCATTTGCTGTGCCAAGACTGTATTAGGTCTTAAACATAGTTACAATGTTAAAATACACACACACACACACACAAGTTGGCAGTCCATAGGCTATACAGGACCTAAATATTTTATTTTATGATTTATTAAAAACATACACAGTGGCTTTACTTATTTATTTTATTTACTTTTAGAGAGAAACAAAGGGAGGAAGAAAGAGAGGGAGAGAAACATTGATGTGCAACAGGAACATCAATCGGTTGCCTCTCCAATGTCCTCAGCCAGGGGACCTGGCCCAGGACCCAGGCATGTGCCCTGACTGGGAATCAAACCAGTGACATTTTGGTTTATGGGATGATCCCAAACCCAGAGACACACTGGACAGGGCAAGACCTAAATATTTTAATGTAGTCAACAAACTGTTAGAAAATGTTAAATGTTAGTCAAATCAAATTTAGTTTGTTCGGATAAAAAATATTTATTATCTCAATTTGTTCCAGGAGTATAGCCCTAGTTTAAATACTATGGAACTTTTCCATCTTAGGGATTCAGAGGCTTTTTCTTGATTTTCAAGTACTAAGTTATTAGTATAAAAAATTGGTAATCAATTGTCTCACAGAGAAAACTTGCCCAAACACACTGTGCAAAGTCACAACTCACTGTAAAGTAACAAAGACACAAAAGATTTTGGTTATGTACTGTGTTCCATAATACAAATGAACAAACAATGGCAGCCTACTTTTCAACTCAGGTTATTATGACTTGTATTTCATGCATAAAGCAGAACTTCACAATTAAAATTCCAAAATATTTAAAGTCAATGACAAATTGGAAATAAAAGTTTGTTAGTAAGTCCCTGCCCCAAGTCTTTAACATTTGTCTGCAATTCATGTTTCACAAATTTGTATGTAGCACCAAGAAAAATTATTCAGAACAATTCAAAGTAAGCCAATATCTAAAATACTTTCACTTAAAAAAACCTGTAATTTTGTTCTTTGCGGCTTCCCATATCTTCTCCTCTTCCAGGAGGTGAAGGAAAGATCTAAAGCAAAATAATTTTGACAACTCTCTTCATCTGAATTAACTTTATAAATGAAAAATGATTTTCACAAAACTATTGGTTAAATATAACTTATATCTGTTATATTGTAAAGGATGTGCTATGATGATAACCTTTCATACTTTTGTTAGTACAAGGTCATTTCTTACTGAAATGTGAACATCAGTAATTCGCGAATTCAATTCATCAAACTTTACAGATTTTTTAAAATTGTTGTATTAGTTTTGCTAGTATTTTGTGTAGTATGGAATATTTTCTAGGTGTAAATAAAGCCTAGAGCTGAATGAGTTAATTAAGGATTACTAGAAGACAGGAAATGATGTTATTAAAGCAACAAACGAAGCTTCTAACAGGGGCCAACAAGTCACTGAACAGACTAAATGTAACTTTTTTGGACCCACTCCCATGCAAAAAAGTCAAAAAGTATTGAGTGTGACGGTAGCATTCAGGGGTGACATCACCAGCAGCAAAGCTGGAACCATGTACATTTACAGGGTCTCTTTTTCAAAGGTTTCAAGGGAATCCAATTAATATGGAAGCTCTTTTAAGTGCCTTAAAATGTATTCCAAAACTCTGGAAATACAGTGTGGTTCGATAAAAGCGGGACTTATCCCCACCTCCTCTCTTTCAAGAATTGAAACTAACTTGAGTTCAAGCTTTAAATCCAAATGACCTCTGCGAAGGGGGCTCTATTTATGTGTGTGTGTTGGGGGGGGGAGGGGCGTTTACTTTGATTATATACATGTAATTTATCCAATAACCCTTAATTTTTCAGGCATCTTTCTGACCTCAGCGGTCTCATATCCTCTAACACATTTGCAAAGAAGGCAGATCACCCACTCCCCCGGTCCCGACCCCAAGAGTCTGATCCTCCTCCAGTCCTCCCCTCCGTCGGCTTTCCCCCCGGATATCTTGGGCCTATTTCTCCAGCTCCTCTTTCCCAATCTGTGTGCCCCCGACCCCCCTCAGAAGCCGGTCAGCTCCTCCAGTCCCCGACCTCATCTCGGCTGACCTGGCCTCCGGCTTCACCCCCTACCCAGGGCGGTCCGCGCGGCCCCTTTAAGAGGCGGCGGCCGGGCAGACGACCTCAGTGGCCTGGCAGCACTCACCCACTGGTTCGCCTTGGGGCAGAAGGTATACAGAGCAACCTGGCCCGTGAGGTCTGCGATGCTGGTGATGTAGGGGTCGTGCTGCTTGAGGGCCGCTAAACTCATCTCCTGCCCAGCTCGACTCAGCGACTCCATCTTGAATTCTCGAGCCGAGCCCCTCCAGTGGGGGTGGAGTCGCGAACAGGAAGGTGCCATCGAGGCGAAAGTTCCCCTAGCTGCGTCACCGCATTTGACTTCCGCCTCTCTGCAGGGCCTCACTGTAAGACCGTACGGTAGCTATTGTGTTCGGCTGCGCCCACGTCCCGGGTATCGGGTTCCGGCTTCGTTAAGTCCTAGAGCCCCAAAGATCCCGGTGGGCGGACGCGGCCACTCCGCGGAGTGGCAGTTTGGATCCCAGCCACTTCCTTTGCTCAGACTAAACTGCTGTGACGCCGTAACCAAGGCTGCCCGAGAGCTTTTTCCGAGCTCCAGCCAGACAAGGTTGGAGACTGACGTGGAGCCTGCTTCGGCTCGCGCTCGGGGAAGGGCCCGGGGCACTAGAACTAAAACTTTCTGTGGCAATCTCCTCGGGCCGTTTAGAAAGCACAGTTAGCAATTTGTTATTTTTCTGAAGGAAAGTTTTGAAAAAGCCACACTACAGGAGTGCCTTATGCTGTGCACTTTTGCTCCTTATTTTTCTCTTCTGAGTTCCAGGGAAATCTACATCCAATCTTGGGAAGAGCCCATGAAGGCTTGAGTTTGTCTTGCATCATTTAAAGCTTTAAAAAGACTGTTCTTTTTTTTTTTTTTTTTTAAGCAAACACCTCTTAAGCATTTTAAGGCATTTTAAAGAGCCAGGAACAAGCTAGAGTAAAACAAGGATAGGGAGTTCTGTGCACCCCTCCGTCCCCGTTAAAGAACACTTTCTTATATCGAAAAAATACCCCAATGGATTTCAAATTTTGAAAGGAATAGAACCCCATACTATTTGTATTGTTTATGATTTTATTAAATCGCAGGGTGACTTTTTTTAGTGAAAAGATATTTCATGTCTTACATTCTTTGCAGAATCACCCAAGAAGCGTTTGCAAATGCAAACAAGGAAACAGGTATCATTTATCACGCAGGTATTTATTGAACTCCTAGTTGTAATCTGGTAGCTCCTTGGAAGCTTCAAAGACTATTTAAGACCGCTACTTGGTTCTGAGAGAAACCGAAAGCTGGAGGACAATGCAAAGAAACTGGGACATTGCTTGACCCGGTTCTCTTGAAACCCTGAGGATGGAAGCACTAACTACTCCTGGTCAGGAAAGACTAGGAAGGCTTCATGTAGGAGGTGATATTTGAATTAGTGCTTCAGGATTAAGTAGGAGTTCAGAGAAGAAAAGCAAGGGCTTCTTTCATTTCATAGTCTAATGGTGAGTTACACAAGATGAAGTCGTCCTCATTTGATTGATGAGTTAATGAAGTTGGGTGGAGAAATCACTGGTTTAAAATTCCACATGAGTCAAGGGGGATCTGGTATTGAATGCAGCGACTTCTGCCTTCTACCGTTTACCTCCACAGTATGGCTGCTTTTCTTCCTCCTGAAGACAGTGGTGTACTCTACTTCACCTACTATGAGTTGAACATTTATTTAATCTGTACCCTAATTTAAGAACAATATAGTATATGTATTTTTTGAATACATATACATTCCCTTCATATAAAATTCAAAGGCACACTTGAAACTGAGTTTAGTTCTTTTCTTTTTAAAAAATTATTCCTGTAGCTCAGTGGATTGAGCGCGGGCTGGGAACCAAAGTGTCCCAGGTTCGATTCCCAGCCAGGGTACATTCCTGGGTTGCAGGCCATAACCCCCAGCAACCGCACATTGATGTTTCTCTCTCTCTCTCCCTCCCTCCCTTCCCTCTCTAAAAATAAATAAATAAAATCTTAAAAAAAAAATTCTGGAAAGCAAAAAATTCTGCCATGTTTATTTTAAAAAATTAAAAAAAAATTATTCTTTTTTCATTGAGGTATAACAGGCATGCATTAACTTTAATATAATGATTTGATATTTGTACATATTGCAAAATGATCGCCATAATAGTCCAGTTAACATCTGTCACCATAATAATTGCAATTTTTTTCTTGTGATGAGAACATTCAAGATTTACTCTGCTAGCTACATACAAATGTTCAATACAGTATTTAACTATAGTCACCATGCTGTACACCACATCCTCATTCATTAGTTTTTAAACATAGATTTTCTAAAATGATCTAAGAAATTTTATTATTTTTGATTGAACAGGGCTAGACTAGAAAAGAACATCAAGCTATTTTAGGAAGTTTTCATATTCAGAATAGAAAATTTCAAAATACATGTTTGCATGCCCCCAAACATGCTAATGTTGGCTTTAATGCCCTTTACAGCTCTTAAGATATATTAAAGAGAATATGACAGTTTTGTAATTTAAAGCTTTCTCATTTCAATGAGACCTAATTTTGCCTTATATTTGTCAATCAAACCTTAAGACCTTTCTCGTGCCTTTTAGACAATAGTTTCTGAGAAGGCAGAGATTACTTCTTAGTCTGTTAGGTCCCCAGCACCTAGTAGAGGTGCTACCCCTGGCAGAACAGGCTTTCAATAAATATTGGTGAATGAATGTCATCTTAAAACCCAACTCGTTTAAGGCCATGGAAGAGAGGTAGGTGACTGGGATCAGAGATAGGAGGGAATCTTAACTCGGCCCTGGAAAACCTTCAGTCACCTTTAAGCTGTGTTCCGTGAATGTCAATTATTAAAAAAAAATACAAATAATTTAAAATATGAAAACCCAAGGTTCAGTCACCTAACCTCACCTCTCTCCTATTCTTAGTAGCTTTGTGGTAGAAAATAAAACTTGCCATTTAAAATTGTGGGGTCTAAAGTAAAGGACATAGAATATAAGTCAAAGGATCAGTGTTTCAGTTCCATACCTACATGCTATGTAACTTGATCTGTTAGTCACAGACATCTCATTTCTCCAGTGTAAAATCCAGTCCTTGCCATGGTTCAGGAGACATTGCTCTGGCTGGCCTCCTACTGTCTTTCCATCTCTATTTTCTGTGAATCGGTCTTCCAATTTTTCCACCCTAGTGCTACCATAGAACCTCCTTGCTATTCCTGTGCATGTGCCAAATGAGTCTTATCTTAGGGTCTTTGCACTTGTTCCCTGTTTCTGGAACATTTTTTTTCTCTGCTATCCCTGTGACACCCTAGGAATTATTTCCTCATTTTCTTGTCCAAATAAGAACATCCAAACCTGTAGAGAATTTTTATAAGAATTTATTCGAGCCAAACTGACATGTGCTGGGAAACAAGATCTTATATGCTCCAGAGAATAACAATTTTGCAGTTTCTTTTATATCTGTATGTTTGGAATTAAGGGAGGAAAGTAAGGAAGAGTATAGGAAGGTGGGAGAAAGCAAGTTACAGATAGTTAACGAGATTCCGTGCTCCCTTTGAGCAGTCGGGAAAAGAGGATTACCTCTGACATTTCAAAGGTGCGTTAAAGGTGCATTAACTTAGATGCACAAGAACAGTGGACAGGGCTGGCTTAAAAACCTTTAAAAATAAACATAAACACAACCCTTCAAAAAAACTTTTGTTTCTCTTCGTTGAGTTTTCCCCCTCTCTAAGAATGAATGAATGAATGAATGAATGAATCTTAAAAAAAAAAGATTGGTATGGGATGTAGGTGATTTTTACTCATTTGTGAATGAAGGAGCCCAGAGGCACAAGATCAGTTGACTTGCCTGTAGCAGAGATTGTTTGCTTTTCACCAACAATCCTTGTATGTTTTTCAACTGCTTTAGGCAAGCAGCTAGGCTTCAAATCCTAAGCTCCTTTGGGTTATTTTACTAAACTGAACAAAAGTTCTTCCCCCTGCATGCACAAGCCCAAAGCAATGCGAGAGCAGGAGTTTATTTACAGTGGAGAAAAATAGTTTATTAGGATTGACACCAATCTGGAGAACAGGTGAGCTTATGCTCCAAAATACCTGACTCCCTGATGGTGTAGATAAGAGGTTGTATAGAGCAAACTTCCTAAGTCATCACGAGTAAGAGGTTTTGGACAGTAAATCATGATTTCAGGTGTTTTTAATTTTTATTTATTGATTTTAGAGAAAGAGAGGAAGGGAGAGAAAATGAGAAACATTGATTTGTTTTCCACTTATTTATGCATTCATTGGTTGCTTCTTGTATCTGCCCTGACTGGGGATTGAACCTTCAACCTTGGTGTATCAGGACAATGCTCTAACTAGCCGTGCTACCCATTCAATGCCATGCTTTCAGGTCTTTAGGTCAGCTTTAGAGTAGTCCTTTAGTCTGGTTTAATGGGATGTGGCTCAAGAGTTGTTCTGCTTTAGGGCTCAGGAGCTGAAATACAACTTACGACGTTAGTTTAAGGAGACCCATAGCTGGTGACCATTGGTCAGGGCTTGGCCATGTTTCTTGCTGCCTCAGGGAGTTAATAAATGCAGGGGAAAGGACTGGGGCATGTTGTGAAGAAATTGAATTGAGCGCTGGAACTCTGTGTTAAATCAAAATCATACATTAAATCAGGACCCTCGGTTTTTATTAGGTATGGTGCTATAATCCATTTTTGGCCAGTGGAATGTTATCAGAAATGCTACGTGCTTTCTTCACGCAGAGGTTTAAAGCAGCCCTTTGCCCTTCCATACTTTCTTTTCTCCTGCTGCATGGGGGCATGCAACTGTGAGGCCATGAGGAATGACAGAGTCACAGGATGGAAAGTGCTGGGACCATGCTGACCAGGGCATCCTTCTCAGGCTGTTACGGGAATGGGAGATGGACTGTTGGGTTTGAAGGGTTAGGTACTTTGCAGTCTTTCTGTTAACTCAGTCCAACTTATCCCAACTAATTACGCTGCTCCAGATTGTTTAGAAAGTCAGCAATTCTACTTTCAGTAGAATTGAAATTAGGCATACGATTTACCAGAACACTGCTTAGTGTTTTGACAATAAGTCAAGATTTTAGAAGAACTCCAGCCAGAGTTGTGCATTTACAATCAGTTACAGGCACAAATTTGCAGAGTCACAAAATGGCTAAAGACCAAAAATATTTTTGCCTATACCATTAGGCAATTGATTTTGTAAT